TGATGGGAGAAGAAACTCCCGCGCTGTCGTCCCAGTTGAAGAAGCAGTGGCGATCCACGGCGTCCCGGACCAGCTCCTCCCAGATGGAACCGCTTCCGCACAGGGTCGCCGCGTTGCCCAGGATCCAGAGGCAGTGCCTGCACCCACCAAGAACGTACAAGAACAGCTCAATGGAAACGGAAATGATAGGGCTTTGCAGTCTCGTTTGTTTTTTGGCCTGAAAATACAGCGGTTACCTTGCCCTCGTTAGAGCGACGTTGGCGCGTCGGAGATTGGACAGGAAGCCGATGGATCCTGCACTGTTAGACCGAACGGTTGACAGGATGATGATGTCTTCCTCGCTGCCTTGGAATCCATCCACGGAGTTGACGCGCAGAGTCAGCGGATGCATGGATTTGGCGTCCCCTATCTCCTGCTGAATTGCCTCCACCTGAGCAGCGTATGGGCAGATCACCCCAACAGAAACTCGTTGCCGGCTGCTGATACAAGCTGCGTACATATAGTAAAGAGATTAAATGGATGCCAACTCCTTGTCGTGTGATCACTGATCTAATCTATACAGCAGCATTATTTCAAGTGTGAGAATGAAAAAAAAATCATGAATTAACTTAGTAACTAACGCCTTGTTTGCTAGGCTTATAAGCCGTACTTTTTCAGCCAACGAATAATATTTTTCTCTCGTAACAAATCAGCCAACGGTACTTTCAGCCATGGCTTATCAGCCCAGCGAACAGGGCATAAATATGAATTCAGTTACCTTTCTTTAGAGCATTCAGTATCTCCAATATGACAGCTACCTCGGCCATGTTTCGCTTGCTCCGGCCGGGATCTTCCCTTCCGTCGATGTTGATGAATGAGTACGGCCCAAACATTGCAGCTTGAAGGTACTTACGCGTGTGGCCCTCCTGCGTGACATTTGCGCCATCCAAAATTTTCTTGTCGTAGAAGCTCAAGTTTGGGAAGATGCTTATAGAAGGGTGCATCCTGTACTGAATGTTCAGAAGGTGCTTCTTCTGTCCCAGCGCGCTTAGCCTCTCAAACAGGCTCCTGCCCAGCAATGCGGTGTCTGAAACCTGCCAAAATTAAGATTGCCAAAGCTCAATTTTGCCCAGCAATGCAAACTACTAGCATTGCCCAGACAGATGCGATAATGCACGAACACAAGTAAGCACTGACCGTACCTTGCTTTTCACAGTTGCTGGTAGTTGACACTCATCGCCAATAAGAACAGCGTGCTTCAGTCCAGAAAGTTGCATTGGTATGAGTGACTCGCATTCCTTCAGCTGCGCAGCCTCGTCGATGAGCAGCAGGTCCATCTTCTGATTATTCAGTTTGGCCGAGCCAGACACCGTGCAGAAAACAAAGGGCGCGCTTCCAAGGCAGAACTTCTTGATTCTGAAGTCAGAGCGTGTCACGGGAAGCTTCAGCTCCCGGAGGAGAGTTCTCAAGACGTCTAGGATTCGTGCCTTGCTCTGCATAAGATGTTGAGTGAACTCTGATTTGCCCGCTTCATCGTTTCCGACGATCTTCCTTCCAAGCAACTTGCTGAAGTCTTTGAGCATTTCCATCAGTAGGACAATGTTCTTGTAGTTCTTCTCCAAAAGAACGGCTCTAGGGACTTGAGACATGATTAGTCTGAAGCAGTTGCTCAGCGTATCAAATATCTGATGGAGCTTCGACCTGACGAAAGATGTCTCAGGGACTTTTGTCCCGGCATTCTGCAAGCAAGCTCCTTGGTACTGAGACGTGACTATTCTTGGTTCTCCCAGGAACACTTCTAGTGAAACAAGGCAATGCTTCCAACCCGTCCCCGGTGAGAAGCACTTCTTGAGCCGCTTCACGCGAGTGTCCAGGAAGATCTCTCCCAGATCACCGTTGACGGCCAAGCGTTCCCGGTTGCCGAACAGCAGCAGGTCGCCGTGGCACACTCCGTCCTTGGCGGCGTGCTGCTTCCACAGCGCCAGGAGGCGGGACGCGACCTGGCTGATGGCGGTGTTGGTGGGCGCGCACGTCAGGACGCGGCATTTGGTCTGGCTCGTCAGAAGCAGGAGCAGCAGCACGCTGATCGTCTTGGTCTTGCCCGTTCCGGGCGGACCCCAGATGAGGCTGAATTTGCTCGCGCCGTCCTGCTGCCGCGTCGCCTTGACGCAGCTCAGAATGGACTCCGTCTGGGAGTCGTTGAGCTTGAACGTGGACAGTTTTGCCGCCACGTCTGCGTCCGCGCCGCCGGTATCTAGCCGAGCTGGAGCCGAGGACCCAGCAGGAAACGATGTGCTCTGCTGAACAAGAGGGGTCGGCCAAGTAAGGAAAGACAATGCATGCGACAAACAAGAATACGTGCGTAGCGTTGGACAAGTGTGTGCGCGCGTGCCTACCTGCGCGTCGCCGGCGACCACCTTGACGAGGGCAGGACTTCTCCTCACGGCGGCGTCGTAGTCCAGGCACCGCCAGATGCGCGCGTAGGGTATGAAGCTGAGCAGACTGACAGCGCGCGTGTAGCAGCTCGCGTCTTCGATTTTGCTGGACGCTCTGATCTCAAAGCCGTACCCGTTGCGGTCGACATCCTGGACGTGTGCGACACAGTACGAGCGGCCGCCGCTCCACGCGAGCTCGCCCGGCCGGCGAGGCATGCCGTCCAAGAGCACGATGATGTCACCGATGCACGCCGCCGCACGACGCGATCCACGGCCGCGGGCAACCGTGGCCCGGTACACCAAGCCGAAATTCCTCAAGCTCTTGCCAATGCTGGGCACCAGGGACCGAATGGGCACGGCCGATGGGTGGTTGGGCAGCGGCTCCAGGTTAGAGCTCATCTCAGCCCGCATCTCCTCCAGCAGCGGGATCCTGAACGCGTCCAGGTAGCTCTTCAGCCCGAAGAATCTGTCAGGTATCGTGCTAGCCTGTCACAGTGCATGGGCCGCCGGCCGCGTGCTTAATCAGAGACCAGCTTCTCACACAGCGTGCAGTAACCACTTGGAGAGAGCGATGTGAAGAAAAAAAAAGTTTGCGATGCAGAGCGACTAGCACGGCGATCGACCAACGAGCTAGTAGATGCAAAGAGCTTAGTGATCGTCGAACCTTGTCTCTGAAGAGGTCCTGGTTCATGACGTCTTGGAGGGACCAGGAGAAGATGAGGTCGACCAGCTCGTCGTCCGGCCGCTTCTTGCCCGCATTCGCCGTTCCCTTGCCCTTCTTCCCCATCATCGATCACGGCCCGAGACGATCGGATGCGTGAGCCGCGGTTCATCGGCGACACGCCAGCTATCTACCAGTAGGCCTCGTTCGCTTCGCTAAAAACACAAGCTAAAATATCGTTCCGGCTGATTTGTTGGGAGAAAAACACTATTTCAACTAAAAACAAGCTTAAAAAAAAGATTATAAGAGAAGCGACTGAGCCGTAGTGCTCCCGCATTGATGGCGAGTGGCTCGTTCCGCTCCTTGGCTCCGGCATCCATACCTTTTGTAAGAAAAGTGACATGAAATTAAGAAGCAAAGCTAAGAGATTCGACTTGGGTTCCACTTCTCGCATCTTTTTTCATAGCATGTTGTATTTTTCCGAGGCACCTGGTACCATTACGATTTATGACAACTTAGCCGCTAAGACACTGGCAGAAATTTTAGGCGACTTTGCTTGACCCATGAGACTTTGATCGAACCGCAGCCTTGGATGATGTTTTGTTGCTATTCGTGTTTTTTTTTTTTTGTCTTTTGGCCGTTGTAGTTTAGATCCATTAGTCTCTGTCACATCGAACGTTTTGATGTTAATTACAAGGATCAAATATGAGTTTTTTAATTATAAAACTAATTGCATAAGTCGTAACTAATTAATTCGCGAGATAAATTTATTAAACTTAATTAATTCATGATTAGCATATATTTACTATAGCATCACATTCGCTAATCATGGACTAATTAGGCTTAATAGATTCATCCCGCGAGTTAGTCACAGCTTATGCAATTAGTTTTATAATTAGTCTATATTTAATACTCCTAATTAGCATCAAACATCCGATGTGATATGAACTAAAGTTTAGTCACCTATATCAAACACCCTCGCGACAATGGTACTAGCTTTCTCCATCGAAAAAATACATATCACTTTTTTGAATCGACTATTTTTATGTTTAAATAAATACATAAAAAATAATATTTATATATGTAATACTCTTATAATAAACTTATTGAGGGATTAAATATTAATACTATTTTATATAAAACTAATTAAGCTTAGGGGACATTTGGATCTTTCATTTTGGTGGAATTGGAATCTATTTAATAGATTAGTCTATTTGGCTCGGAATTTGAATTCCACTTCTTTTCTAAGTTCACATATAAGGCTATCTCAAGTTCATAGATTGAGAGATGGAAATTGATTCCACATATCATCATACTACTCTCTCCAACTTATAGCATCTTCAACTCACTTTTCTACACTAAAAATGGAATATATAAGTATTTCCCTTATATCGCTAACAATAGTATACAAATATATTCCATATTGAAGCACGCTAGCTTAATTAATTTATACCTAAATTATAATAATTAGAATGAATTCAATTTTAAGGAATTTGACGTTTTAAGGAACGAGATTGTATTTCCTTTCTAGCCGTGTGTCCATTTCCGTATAAGAAAACACATTTTCTTTTTCCCGAAAGACCAGGAAAAACACATTTTCACCGCAATCATACGCCGTGGTAAGCGGCGGAACAGTCTCGGCAACCCAAGTCGGTGACGGTCAGCTCAGACCGTCAGAGCACGAGTACTAGTGGAGGCAACCGGCGAACCCTCGGAAGAAGCCCGCCCCAATTCGCCCATTCGCGTTTGCGTGCCTTTCCTCCCTGCTCTGCTTTCCTCCAGGTCCAGGCCCCTCTTCTTTTCATTCGCTAACACCACGGACACGGAGAGGACGGGCGCGTTGGCCCGCCGCTCCGCATTTTGGTGCGCTCGGCAGAAGCAAGCTAGGTTTCGAGTCTCCCTTGCGACGGCGCCGCCCGTTAGAGATGATCGGACGGGGTGGCGGTGGCCGCGGCCGCGGCGCGCGGAGAGAGGACACGGGTGTGGAGTGGCCGAACCTCGTGGACGTGGTACTGTCCTGGAGGCTCGAGGATGTCATGAACGAGGGCCTCTTCAAGGACAAGGTTTGTAGGAATCTATTGATATCCTCGATCAGTTCTTTGCTGGGCGGGCATTAATGCTTCATGCTTGCGTGCTGTTCTCGTAATGTATCTTGTTCAATCTAGGAGTACTCCCTCGGTCTCAAAAAGAAAATCGCCTTAGGATTTTGTACGAAGCAAACTTTCTAAGTTTAATTACATTTGTAGAAAATATTTAACAACGTTTGTATCTTCAAATAAGCTTATTATGAAAATATCTAAAATTCTAAATATACTTATTATGAATCACAAATATTAATAATTTCTTGTATATATTTGGTCAAAGTTGATAATGTTCGATTTCTTGGGAAGTGAGAATGACACTTAGCATGACAGAGGAAGTACTTAGTAATGTATCTTGTTCTGTGCTAGTATGGAGTATTACGGACTTTCCTATTATCCCGAGCATTCACTGTGGAAAGTTGCCTATTTTGGGCGTTATATTTGCGTTCACCAGATAGTCTAGTTGACTCCAAGTCGCCAAATGCACAATGGTAGAAGGACCCGGGAAAGTGTGGCTGCTTTTTTGGCCTATGTATTCCTGGAGAGTGTATTACAATGGTGTTGTAGATGAGTATTGATGTGGGGTACATATATTTTCTTGAGATTTTAGTTGAACAAATTCATGGTGTGAGGGCAAAATAACAACTTTCTTGAAATGTTAAGCAAATTATAATATGGAGCTGCAGATCACATTATGTGGTTTGCCTAGGATGTAGCGCATTGTCATGCTTCTTTTTGAAACGAACATTGTCATGCTTCCTGTTTCTGTTACAGTGTGTTTCTTTAACATGGAATTTTAGTTGTTTCAAACACATAAACTTTAACTATACGTCCTGAACTACAGTGAATTTTCACTTGTTCTAAGTCAAACCATCATAAGTTTGATTAAGTTTATAGAAAAGAATAATAGTATTTACGGCATCAAAAAGTTTCATTAGATACATTATGAAATATATTTTTTACTTCTTTGATGTGCTAGATGTTAATATTCTTCTCCACAAACTTGGTCAAACATAGAATGGGTTAACTTAGGACAACTGAGTTTCTTAGGTTCAATATCCAGCTGTTTGCTTAATATAGTGAGGCTTGTAATGCAGGTGAAAAGGATACCGTTCACTTTCAGTTCCCTCAAGAGCTACCTGGAGTCATATGCCTCTCCATTGCTGGAGGAGTTGAGAGCTGAGATGTCGTCCGGACTGGAATCCATATCAACCATGCCCTTTGTCAGGATATCATCTATTGAAGAAAAGAAAGGCAGCAAAATTTATGAAATTTCTGTTGCGTCTGATTCTCAGGCTGCTAAGTCATGTAATCAGCCTGAATGTTATGCTCCAAGTGTCGGTGATATCATTATTTTGTCTGATGTGAAGCTGGGTCATATTTCTGATATTGCTCGCGATGGGAAGCCGTGCCATATTGCCTTCGTAACAGAAGGAGGGGATGAAGATGATGACACACCGCCATCTAAGTATGTGATCATAGCATCGGGCAAAATTGATACTGCTGATGGCAAGCGTCAAGATGTGAAAAGGAACTCACTCTTTGCTGCTTATTTGCTCAACATTGTGACATACATCCGAATATGGCGTTGCCTTGACTATGAAACAGCAGTCAAAAGAAATAGAGGCCTCATACAGAAGATGGTGCAATATCCTCTGGTATGCTTATTCTGAATCATCCTTATATGAAGAAGTCATTGTGCTAGTTGGATGACAAACATGCAGAGGACAGAAATTAAAGAACAGAGATATTAGTGTCGAATTACCATCCATGTTTTGTGTTTATTAGAATATTTCACTGCAAAAGAAAATATCCAACATAATGGAAAATGAAGGATCCAGCAACATTCACATCATAATCAAAGTAGTCATTGATAGATTTGCGACTTCTGTGATGAATGAGTAATTTAATTTGTACCATTTTCTGATTTCATCAGGTCCAAGATATTCTTCAGACATTCAGAAAGGATGTTGGTTCAATTGACAGCATGGAAATATGGACCAAGCTGTCTACGATGGACCTTAACAATTCTCAGAATGATGCCGTCTTGAATTGTATTTCAGAAATGAATTGCAACAGCAACAGCAGCAGTTTTAGCCTTATCTGGGGTCCTCCTGGCACAGGAAAGACAAAAACAATTAGTGTGTTACTGTGGTTAATGAGAGAAATGAAACATGGTACACTCACATGTGCACCAACAAACCTTGCTGTTAAACAAGTTGCTTCACGTTTCTTGAGGTTGATCAAACAGCATTCTTTTGATAAAAGGTGCTTGGGAGATGTTCTATTGCTTGGCAATAAGGAGCGCATGTGTGTTGATGGTGATCTCAAAGAGATATATGTACATGGCCGTGTAAGGAAGCTTCTTGGCTGCTTTGCACCACTGACTGGATGGAGACACCGCCTATCTTCTCTATCTGATCTTTTTGAGAATGGTTACACCCAGTACCTCCAATATCTACAAGACCAAGAGGAAGGTGATAAACCTTCTTTCTTCTCTTATAGCAGAAAAAGGTTTTCTATTATTTATACGAATTCTAGAAGATGTTTCAAAGAATTATTATCTCATGTCCCGAGATCTAGTATTTTGGAACCGAATCACAACAATATCCTTTCAATTCTTGAAATGCTTGAAGACTTCAACAACATGTTTCAGCGGGGGTATATTGGGTATGAAGTTAAGGAAGTTTTCTTGTACAATAATGGTGCATCCGATTCTAGAAACTCTAGTGTGATGAAACATTGGAAAACTATAATCACTCTTGGCAGAGCAAGGTTGAAATGCCTTGAGAAACTGAACACTCTGTTAAGTTGCTTGAAGCTTCCTGTAACTTCCTCAAAGCGTATCATTCGCGATTTCTGCATTGAAAGTGCTTCCATAATTTTCTGTACTGTATCTCACTCATCAAAAGTCTCAAGTCAGAAACTAGAGTTGCTTGTCATTGATGAGGCTGCCCAGTTGAAAGAATGTGAAACACTGGTCCCTCTGCGGTTGCGGACCTTAAAGCATGCTGTTCTAATTGGTGATGAGTGCCAATTGCCAGCGACTGTCAAAAGCAAGGTTGGTTCTTGATATACTTTTATGCTTTTGTTAAACTATTATCTAGCAAGCAACAGATTTGCCACTTGTTTTGTAAAATTTCTAATTTTCACGATCATTTCAGGTTTGTGTGGATGCATTATTTGGAAGAAGCCTTTTCGAAAGGTTGAGTTCACTTGGGCACAAAAAGCATCTACTTAATATGCAATACAGAATGCATCCTTCCATTAGTAGTTTTCCCAACATCAGCTTTTATGATGGGAAAATCTCAGATGCTCCTAATGTTATGCAAAGAGAACACCAAAAGAAGTATCTTCCAGGTTTTATGTTTGGTCCATACTCATTTGTAAATATTGAAGAAGGAAGGGAGGAATTCAGTGAACTTGGCCATAGCAGGAAAAACTTGGTTGAAGTAGTCATCGTTGAAGAAATATTGCGCAATCTCCAAAAAGGCATGTGTTGTCTATCGACGCTTCATTTACTTACGCATATGATTCTTTTTTAAATCTTATCTACCTTAATTTTCTTGTGTTGAGGAACTTGAAACATCATACCAAAACAGCTTTTCAGCGAAACATGCATCAATTTTGAAGCATGATATGTTTTCAAAAAAAAAAAAATTGAAGCATGATTTTTTTTTAGAAAAATGTGACTGGGATGAGGAATGAAGACTGTATATTAGAGTTATGTTTGATGATATGATTAACCTTATTATATTCTTGTTGTCAAGGTTCACATCTATACTTGTATTCTACTTGTAATTGAAGTTTCTTTAGGTTGGAGGAGCAAAAATATTCTTATTTCTAATTTATATGAGAAATTGCTTTTGCAATGTTTGTACTTTTTCTTCAATGTACGTCGCTCTCATGGGTTATCATAAGGTTAAATGTCTAAAACACATGCACCGAAATTGGAACCTATATTATTTGGTTTATATGGTATGAGTGTGTATGCTTCTTCTAAATATTTCTCTTTTGGCAGCTTGCTCAAAAACTAGAGCGAAAGTTACAGTTGGTGTCATCTGTCCTTACACTGCTCAAGTTCTGGCAATTCAAGAAAAAATAGAGAAAATGAAGTCTGATCAAATAGAAGTAAAAGTTAATTCTGTTGACGGCTTTCAAGGTGGTGAGGAAGACATAATTATTTTATCAACTGTGAGGTCTAACTCAGATGGGATGGTAGGTTTTCTTTCAAACAGACAACGCACAAACGTGGCATTGACCCGAGCAAGGTATCCAATTCTACAGATTTGCTAATTAATGTTGAGTATCTTCTGTGATCCATACCCAATCTTGTTTTTTTTTTCTTTCATCTGCCTCAGCAAGCAACTTAAATTACAGGTATTGCCTATGGATCCTGGGAAATGCAACAACTTTATCAAACAGTGGCTCAATCTGGGCTGATTTAGTTCGCAATGCAAAGGATCGGAGGTGTTTCTTTAATGCTAGTAGTGACAAGACTATCTCTCATGTGATTGCTAAGCAAAAGAGTGATCTTTGTAGAGCTGAAGCCAAAAAGAGCACACCTCTTGCACGTTCCAGAAACAACAGGGTTTGGGTATTGTCTTGCAGGACCTTTTCCACTGCTGCCTCTGATCTATCTAAATTAGCTGTTTACATTGACATCCTCATTCTCTTTTTGTTCATGTTTTTAGTTTGATGCATTGTTGTATTGTGCTTACCTATTATTTTAGTGGAAAAGATACATGTGGTATTTGCACTGGAAATATGTTAATTATGTTAAACTCCACGGTTTTTTGGGGAATCATGGAAATTGACACCCTTTCAAAGAACAACAAAAGAATGGCAGTAGGATTAATACATCCAACTATCCCACTGCTGCTAGTCTGCTAATGTTACAACCAGAACCAGTAATGTGCTTGAGGTAACTAATTGTTTTTTGAGCAAGGAGTTGGTATGTGTAAGCTGTAACCTAAATAGACCATTTACTCATTTTAGTAATGAGCGTGAAAAATTCTAACCAGCGACTGCATTACTATTTTAGTAAAAAAAACTCCGAAAGTTTGCAGATTTTTTATTTTTTATTTACTTTGGTTCAGGTGCGATCCCAAAGTGAACTGAATGAACAAGGCTCTTCTTCGGCAAATGTTTCACCTGATGCTGGGGATATCGATTACAGCACTGCCTGCATAAGGAATCTCAAACTGAACTGAAGATTCCCGTCTTTGGCTAAGAAGGTGACTATGTGATCAGACTCTTCCAGTCTTCCTGAAACTGTAACGCACATTGTCAGCGGAGCTATTCATCCAGCGCAAATTTCAAAGGCCAAACTGTATCGTGCTGTATGGAATGGTACAGACATGTTCAGCATAATTTTATTTCGAGCCAGGTTGTCAGGAGACACCTTAGTTTTGGGCATATGCTGATCCTGGAAGCATGGCCCTATTTGAATTCTGATTGGAGATGCTACTGGTTATCGGTTACATGTGGTGGCGATTTCCAGTTAGCTAGGTTTAGAGTGTGTGGTGTGCTCTACAGCTGAATACCTGAAACTCCCAATCAATGTTCAGTGGTATCGGATGGGCCTCCTGATCTTCAAAGCCGGGATGCCAACATGTGCTACTGTTAGAATCTACTGCCACCTTATATGAATACAGCAGAGGAAGGCGGCGCCGACTTAGCCGCCTGCTGTGTGTGAACACAGCAAGGGAAGGCGGCGTCGACTTTGCCCCCTGCTGTGATACAGTAGCCGCTGCAGGTGCAGGCGCCGTACGGCTCACCTGTAGCACTGTAGGAACAGGCAGTGGCCGGCGCAGAGTCAGCCATGTTAGGTTATCTAGTTACTGTGCTAGCATGGGCGTTGCACATGGACTAGATAGTTAGAGTTGTATAAATAGACATGTATGTGTCGGTGTTTCGGACCGAGGGGGTCCTCAACCAACCAGTAAATTTGACCTGCGTGCCCCTAATTCCGGATGGTGATGCAAAGAGACACAAGGTTTATACTGGTTCAGACAATCAGTGCTCTACGTCCAGTCTAGGAGATCGATCTTGTATTCCTTGCACCGAAGTGCTCGTAGTAGGAGGTTACAAGCGGGGCGAGAGAGGGAGCTAGCCTCAAGTCTCAGCGTGGAACGATGCGAGGTGCTTGAGACGTTGCTCTTAAGCAGCTTGGGAGCGTTGATGTTACAGGATGTGTCTAGGGCGCATATGGGAGCGCGGTTCTATCGTATGTTCTTCTTTTTTCTCCCCCCCGAGCTATCCTTGGCCGCTTCCTTTTATAACCGTAAGGAAGGAGCCAGGAGTATATGAGTAAGCTATACGTGGAGCCTGCTGCAGTTTTGTCCTGTAGCAGCATGGCGTTGGGAATGGAGATCGGTACTTGTCTGGCGCGCCGTGCTGGTCAGGTTTGAAGTGGTTGAGGTCGCGGGGGTCCTTGTCGATGTCTAGTCAGTATGACTTCCACGGCCGGAGACATGCCATGCTTTGGTGGACTCTTGACCTGGTGGAGTGCCGAGGCCTGGCAGGTCGTAGCTAACCGCGCCGAGGCCTGATTTGCCGAGGCCCTGGCGGGTGTTTGTAGCTGACCGCGCCGAGGCCTGATTTGCCGAGGCCCTGGAGGGAGCAGTTGGGCCTATGCACTGATTCCGAGGCTATAGTGACCCGGTTTAGGTGGAAAAGTGCAGGGCAGGGTAACCCCTGCACCGTCAGTAGGGGATGGTAAAAAGGAGATTTGACTGCCGTCCCATCGCCCCTATTGCTATACCCTGCCAATCGTGGCTGACGTAGCGGGTGCATTCAGGCGCATTAAATGGATGGGACAGCCTGCCAGGGGGATGGTTGAGGCGGAGGCGACGAGGATGCGGGATGAGCCCGGCCTCGACCGAGGCGGAGAAGGAACAGTACGTCCGAGGCCCTGCCGGGGGGTCTCGGACGAGGCGGAGAACGAGTAGTTGGGCTCTCCTGCTGTTGCTGAGACTACAGGGACCTGGACTTCCACGCCGCTTTGTCCTTGGCGCAGGGGTTAGGTAGCACAGGGCAATACGGGTGTCAGTAGGGAGCACAGTGATGAGCACAGCGGCAGGTAACCCCTGCTGCGCCCGGTCCCCTGTCCTGTCGGTTGTTCTGCCCGTACTATACCCGCGTGCGGCTGACGTTTGCGGGAGTAGTTGGGCGCATTAATCCGGATGTGACGTTTTGTCAGAGGAGTTCGGTCAGGACGGAGGTTACGAGTTTGTTTTGCCGAGCCCGGCCTCGAGCGAATCGGAGAATTGGCATCCCGTCCGAGGCCTTTCGGGGCGGGGCCTCGGCGAGAGGGCCTCGGTGGGGTGGGGAGCTTTTGGTCTTTCGCCTGAGGCCTCAGCGCAAGGCCTCAGGCGAATCGGAGAATCTGCTGAGACCTCGCGGTTTGATTTTCACAAGGTTTAAGCAATATTTTTGGTTCTTGCTTAGGGTATCCTTTCTTGTGGTATCCGACAGTAGCCCCCAAGCCTCGGGAGGAGTGTGGGCACTCTCCTGAGGTTTTGTCGAGACTTGGCTCGCAACAGCTCCTGTTTGGGATTGTGTTTTGTACTTGGTGGTTCCAGTGGGTGCGCGCGAGCGCACCCGCCGGGTGTAGCCCCCGAGGCCCTGGAGGAGTGGGTTTACTCCTCCAGGGGTTTTTTTCTCCATTTGAGCAAAGAGTTTTATCGTGTTCGCCGGACCCATGAGTGTGAGTTCGGGTCGCTGGGACTTAGCCTAGTGCAGGAAGAACCCCCGAGCCTCTGCACGGAGCGAGAGGGTGATCAGCGATTTCACTGTCTTCTTTGACGGCCCTCGCGCATCCTTTTCGCTCGAAAGGAGGGGTTCGTTTGCCGAGCCCCCTCGGGTGCGAGCCTAGGTCGCTGGGTCTTGGCAAGGTTTGCAAGGAGAGCCCCCGAGTCTCCGCACGGAGGGAGAGGGCGGTCAGGAGTTCCCCTGGCTTTTTATGCGACCCTCGCGTATCCTTTTCGCTCGGAAGGAGGGGTGGAATATGCCAGGCTACCCTCGGTGGGCGTGAGCGGTGACACTTCCGGTGAGCTGCTATCGGGTAAGTCCGAGTGGAGGCCCGTGCCCCATTCGATAGGGGTCGGCTAGTGGTCCGGAGACGCACTCCAAAAATACCAGAGGGCTTCTCTATTGGGTCCCAGGGCCGTTCGATTGGCCCCGGGGGCTCGGCGCCTCCCTACGGTGGGATCCCATTCGAAGAACTCCCTGCTGGTCTCGGACACGACTTAGGGCATCCCGAGCGATCGCTTGCCCGGGCCTCGGCCATGTACGGGCTCGCCCATAGTTGTCCCTGACTCTATTGTCCTGGGGCGGCTGTCGAAACCCTCGGGGTCCAGCCTTCGAACCCCTGGACCGTAACGGGCTCGGCGCCCTTTTTGTCGCTTTTTTTGAATCTATGAGTGCGAGCTTGGGTGGCTTGCTTTCGTCTTGGGTGTAGGAAGAGTCCGCGAGCCTCCGCACGGAGCGAGAGGGCGGTCAGGAGTTCCCCTGGCTTTTTATGCGACCCTCGCGCATCATTTTCGCTCGGAAGGAGGGGGTTGTTTGCCAAGCCCCCTCGAGTGCGAGCCTAGGTCGCTGGGTCTCGGCAAGGTTTGCAGGGAGAGCCCCCGAGCCTCCGCACGGAGCGGGAGGGCGGTCAGGAGTTCCCCTGGCTTTTTATGCGACCCTCGCGCATCCTTTTCGCTCGGAAGGAGGGGGTTGTTTGCCGAGCCCCCTCGAGTGCGAGCCTAGGTCGCTGGGTCTCGGCAAGGTTTGCAGGGAGAGCCCTCGAGCCTCTGCACGGAGCGGGAGGGCGGTCAGGAGTTCCCCTGGCTTTTTATGCGACCCTCGCGCACCTTTTTTGTTCGGAAGGAGGGGGTTGTTTGCCAAGCCCCCTTGGGTGCGAGCCTAGGTCGCTGGGTCTCAGCAAGGTTTGCAGGGGAGAGCCCCGAGCCTCCGCCTGAGCGGGAGGGCGGTCGAGTTCTCCCCGGCTTTTTATGCGACCCTCGTGCATCCTTTTCGCTCGGAAGGAGGGGTGGAATGTGCCAGCTACCTCGGTGGGCGCGCGAGTGACACTTCCGGTGAGCTGCTATCGAGTAAGTCCGAGTGGAGACCCGTGCCCCATTCGATGAGGGTCGGCTAGTGGTCCCGAGACGCACTCCAAAAGTACCAGAGGGCTTCTCTATTGGGTCCCAGGGCGTTCGATTAGCCCCGGGGCTCGGCGTCTCCTCTGGTGGGATCCCATTCGGAGAACTCCCTGCTGGTCTCGGACACGACTTAGGGCATCCCGAGCGATTGCTTGCTCGGGCCTCAGCCATGTACGGGCTCGCCCATAGTTGTCCCTGACTCTGTTGCCCTGGGGCGGCTGTCGAAACCCTTAGGGGCCCAGCCTTCGAACCCCTGGACCGTAATGGGCTCGGCGCCCGGTTCCTTCACCTGAAAGGAATTGGCTGAGGGAATATTCCCCTTCCATCAGCTGACAATGGCAGGCATGCCTTTTGAGGCGGTCTCTCGGGGCCTGCTGTTGCTACGGTTGGAAGCGACGCGGTGTCAGCGGACAGGACATAACCGTCCGTGCGATTAATGGGGAAAAGGTGGGCGCGTGGGCGGTGAAATTGGATCTGGATTTACTGTGCCTGGACTCGAGGGAAACTTCCCCGATTTCGTCGCCTGACCGTTTCATCCTTTCCCTGCATAAATATGAAACGAGTCTCGCCCATCCCCTCCTTACCTTGTCCGTACTTGCCTTTTCCGCCTTCGAGCATTGCCGAGAATAGAGAAGCGCCAGGGAGAAGAAGGGAGAAGAGGGAGCGAGAGTGAGAGAGAGGAGCGAGAGAGACTTACCGCCGTAGCCCTCATTCTCCATCACGCAATGGCCGGCGGTCTCCTTGTCATTCTCCCGGCGGGATCCTTGGGAGCCGTTCGACGTGTCCGTGGAGGTGATGCAGTCGCTCGTTAACGATGGCCTTCTTCGTCCGATCACCGATCCCGACAGGCCAGAGTGGATTGCTCCGTTGGGCGAGCTAGAGCCGCGGCCACGCGAAGGGTATGTCGTGAGCTTCGTCTCTTTCCACGAGCGTGGTCTCGGCGTGCCGGCGGACCGATTCATGCGGGCGCTCCCGCATTACTACGGGGTGGAGCTACACAACTTCAACCCCAACTCCATCGCGCAGGCGGCTATTTTCGTCGCCGTCTGCGAGGGGTATCT